TGATAAATATAGAACCAGAAATGCTGAATGTAGTTTGGCCGAAAATTGCATACATGGATAGTATAGTACTTTCGCCTCTCCAGGGGGTATGTCAAAGGAAGAATCCGATTTAGGTTTATTCCTAGTTTAGTAGCCACTTAGGTGGGTATATAAAATTAGCCCTAACATATTATGTTAATTATCAAATGAGTATTTGATAATCCAATTTTGATGTTTACTTGGAGTTGCTCTAAGGGGGATAAATCCAACTTTTAATCTTATTTTTGGGATAATCTCCTCCCATAGTAGAATACCTAAATTACCCTTGATGTATTTTTGGATTTTTATGTTTAATTTATTTTCCCAAAATAATTCTCCTAAATATCCACCCTCCCCAAAATCTCTCAAAAATCTCATACCATTTCAATTAAAAAAAAAATTATGTGTTTTTTATTATGTTTTTTATTTTGTTTTTCGTGTTTTGTTTTTTTTTTTTGTTTTATTTTGTTTTGTTTTTTTTTTTTTTTTTTTTGCAAAATTTTTTTTGATTAAATGGGGTTTTTTATTTTAACTTTATTTTTATTCAAAAGCTTTTTTTTATAAGAAAATTAGAAAAAAATGATTTTCTTTAAAATATATAATATTGATTTTTAAAAATTGATTTTTAATTTTGAATTTTTTAAATTATCTTTTTACATTTCGATTTAAAAAACATATAATTTAACAAAATTGAAATGCACTATAAAATTATCTAAAACCACTATATATTTAATGTATTCTATTACAAAATTTCACTATAAACTTATCGAAAATCACCAAGTAATTAAGGTTGTCCATTGCTAAAATTCAATTTAAACTTATTGAAATTTTCTATTTTTTAAAAATCATTTTTTTTCCATCAGGTTTACCAGATGTATTTGTATATTTCAAATCTAAAAGTCTTTAATGAAAATTGATCAAGTTTCTATGAATTATCATAAATTTGATTTGTTGGTTTTGGTGCTCAAATAGGCTCGTGATCCCCAATTTGAGACTCGAAGCTATTTGGCGGTTTGCTAACCGCCGAATAGAGGTTCAAAATGGACCAATATTATAGAGCACTCAACAATCAACATAATCAAATAGAATTCTGGAAATTCGAAGACCATAATTTGGTGCTGAACATCCCATGATTCTCACCCTAGAGATATCGATGCATATTTAGAATGTCGACGTCCTGAACAACCCATGATGGGTTGTCTTTAGTCCAACCTACAAAGACCATCAATTCGAGTTTCTAAACCGGAGTGTTTTTAATAAAATATATAAGTTAAATCTTCCAAGAAATCCAGATAATTAAATTTGAAGTTCAAGAAATCATGGATATGAGAAAATTAAGCTTGCAAGAATGAATCAATGTTCGAAAAGATAAATCAAATTAATAGCAGGCTCATTTGACAAGTCTAATTTGATAAATACAATATTTTTGAGAAATCCATTTCAATGAACCATATAGAGATGGCCCAATTCCCAAAATACGAGTTAATTCGAGAAATACGATCGATTAGTAGCCATCATTTTGGAGAAAATCTGAGCGTCAAAGGATAAATATAACCAACTCCAAAAGCTAAATATGCTACTAAAAATATCGAACTTTGAGAAATCCGACCTCAATAAATCGTATAAGCAAATTTAAGCTTCAGAAAAAATCAAGTTTTGTGAAATCCGGTTTGATTGATGAACTAATTGGTATTATCAACCCCGACAACGAATCTAATCCTCACTTACTATATTAATAAACAAAAGAATTCAAGCTTATTGTTGATAATATATTTTAGATTATACTTATTTTTAATTAAAATAATTTCAAATGCTTAATTTTTATTGTTGATATTTACAAAATCTCCCCAAAATAAATAAAAAATCGGGGCGCTGGCCCTTATTCCGTAACGTCACAATTCATCTTGAGCTAGAAGTGTAAAGAGATATTTAGAGAAAAATACAGTTTCCGCCCCTCAAGTTTGCACCAATTTCACATTTGGTCCCTAATGTTCACAAAAAATGCACTTGCTCCCTCATGTCCCTAAAATTAACACTTTTAGTCATTTTGTCAATTTTCCGTTAGTCCTAAGGGAATCAAGCGTGCGACCATCACTGCCTTAACTGACGGAATAAATATAAATTGACGAAAATGACCAAAACTTGTTGAAACATGAGGGACCAAATGTGTTTTTGTGAACATTGGACACCAAATGTGAAATCAATGCAAATTGGAGGAATGACAACTGTAACTTTCCCAAGATAATTATATATAAAGTCTACAAAATCTTTGTACTATTTTTTTTTATCAAAGTTGGAGGGGTATAGAGAGTTTAGCTATACTCTTACATTTATTTGTTGAATATCCTTAAAACTACAAGCAATGTATTGGAATGGCATAAAAAGAGACATATTTTCCCTATAAGAAAAATGAGATTATGTTGTTGAAGTGAAGCCTTTTATCAAGACTTTAAATTCCAATTCAGTTTTTTTCTTATTTATTGATAAAAAATTCTATGTATTTGATTTTGTCACGAATAAGATGCTAAAATAATGGTTTTCACGTAAAAAAAAAAAAAAAAAAAAAAAAAAAAGCCAAGTTTTGAATTTTAAAAAAAATCTATATATATAAATCCCAATAAATTATATTGAAAAAGAAAATCGATACACTCCTATCAGAAAAAGTTGAAAACTCAAAACAAATAAATGGACGAATAAATCATAAGAGTTTAACAGCAATGCTTGCAAGTCTCTGCCACCCTTTCAAATGACTTCAAAGTTCAAACAAAGGACTTTTCTCGATGCTTTATTTTCCAAATATTATTGATGTGTTGAAAAGTAAGACGCCTTAGTCAGGATGGAAGTAAGGCAGAAGCTTACAATGAAAGCTGTGTTCGAATTCAAGAACATTAACTATAGTATATTAGACGAGTACGTAGTTTCGAGATTCATGTATTCATTTCAATAACAATAACCCTTCAAATATTGCATATTATCTCAAAACAATTTCAAGATTCTAAATTGAGAAGCTAATTGAGCACAGACCATTCTGATTCGAAAAGTTGCCACAAAAGGTAAGTGAATCTTCTTTGCCTCCAACAAGCTGCAACTTGTTTTACCTTTTTTCTTGCTTTTGGCTACTTTAACATGAACTCAAGTAATAGAAACACCTCAGCTTATAATCATATCCAGCACATAAGCTTAACAACTTATAATTCTATTTAGGGTAGCCGCCTAAATTAAGGTCAATTAATGTTCAGTTAATTTTAATGGAATTCTTTTTCTTTCCATTGAATTTCCTCGAGAAATGTCGAGTAATTGTTAGTCCCTCCTTTCCATTTTATTTGTCTTTTTAGATATTTTTTTAGGGATCTTAAGATATAAGTCCTTGGTACAAACCTTATTAGAACTAAATGACAAGTCTAATTAAAATTTGTTTCACATCATTTATTAAATTCATTCCAAAAATGCCCTTTCACTCACAAATTCGAAGTTACAACAGATTGCAAATATACTATGATGAACTATAGTATTATTTAAGATTTTTAAGTTTGCATCTAGTATTTTTTTTTTTAATTTTTACGTGGAACACGTTTTTTTTTTTTTTTTTGTGTGTTTCATTTTTCGTATTTTTTCATTATATAAAAACCTATTTTTTTTCCTTATTTTCTACATAAATTGAAAATTATGATTTGTTTTAAAAAAAATTCGGTCGTAGACATCTACAAAAACCCGTAGAAACCGTAGTAATCCGTAGTCACCCACATATATCTTGAAATCCTAACTCCTCCTTTTAACCATAGCCGTCAGACACCCATAGACACTCTCAGACATCTGTAGACATCCAAATAGAAAAATCTTAATTTTTTCCTACCAAACTCTAGATCCGCTCCACCACCACCACCACCACCACTACTCCCCCTCTCCCTCCCACACACCTGCCGTCAGCCAACGCCGTTCTCCATGCCCAGCACCGTCGTTGCGCCTTCCACCATAGATTTGACCTTACACCACTATAGCCGCCGCCTTCTTGCCTCAATAACCATCCTCTTATTGCTGCCACCGCCCTTCTCAATAATGGATTGGAGTGGTGGAGAGAGAGAGAGAGAGAGAGAGAGAGAGAGAGAGAGAGAGAGAGAGAGAGAGAGAGAGAGAGAGAGAGAGAGAGAGAGAGAGAGAGAGAGAGAGATTAAAATTATGGATTTAGGTTAAGGGCAAATTAGGGATACAAGAAAAATTGGGATGTGACTCATATTTATTTTTCTAAAAGGGATTTAATTCATAAAAAATATTAGGGTTTTACTCCACATCTAATTATGTTTCCAACTAGGGACTCTAGCATATTAACCCATTTTTTTATTTCAAAATAATTGTCACTTTAGAATTCCAATAAGTATTTATTGTGCTTTCTCAATTATGCCCTTACTAAATATTAGGGTTTTACTCCACATCTAATTTTGTCTATTAAATGAATTACACCTAGAAGATGTTATAGATAAAGAGAAATTGTCGAGTAACACCTATGGGAGCTCGACAGTGGAATAAGTTCATTGATTCATTATGTCCCATGGAGGAGGACGAGGAAGTGTTAGCACCAGAAGTGTCATATCTAAATGAAATATATGCATTATTATACTCTCCATGTACTCGATATGATTTAGCATTTTCTGTAAATTTATTAGGTAGACTTAGCTCACCTTACCGACACGCCGTATGCATCACTGATTGAACGCTTGTGGTTTATATTGGCATTGACTACAAGTCATATCCACACAAAACTCATTCTCACTCTATGGTTTAGCATTGGGAAAAATTTTATGTCTTGGGGTTCTGTGAAATGTACCATAGTTGTCACTAGGTCAAATTATGCATGATGTTTGCTTCACGAGATAGTGAGTGAATGCACATGGTCTGAAGTCATGATTAGGCATGTTTGAGATTCCTGTAAATTGACTAACACAGAAGATGCTACGGGATTGTATTTTTAATGTAATACAGTATGCATTGAGTAAATGAAGATGGGCTTCATTACATGTGACAAGTCCATGGACATAGTTATGACATTCTCTTCAATCAACAACATTAAGAGCTCAAACACTAATGATCCAGCAGATTATGAGAAAGGATAACTACGCTGACTTATTTACTAAGTCTTCGCCTAAAATCACTTTGGAAAAGCATGTTAAAACTATTGATTCAATGGTAGTTAACGTGAGGGGGAGTACCCTGTAGATACTCAGTATTCTGAAGATATCCGGGTGCCTTGTTGCACTTTTTTCTTTGTGCGAGGTTTATTTTTCCCTCGTTACTCGCCAAGGTTTTAACGAGGCAACAGATGTTGATTGGAAAGATTGTGCGCTCTACTCTTTTTCCTAACCGATGTTGTTTTTTTCCATTGGGTTTTATTACTCGTAAGGTTTTAACGAGGCAATACAAAAGGCACAATAGTGGTTTGATAGGAATCCCCAAGGCGGAGTGTTGTAAATAATATATAGAATATGAGGTTTTCTAACATAACCACTTGATGGTTCTCAACTTCCCACTAGTTTATTAACCTCCCATAATTATTATATGATGTTTGTGGAGATGTAACTCCTTTGTAGCTTCCCATTGTAACTCATTTATAACTCTCAGTGGTATAACTCTCCCTCCTCCTAAAAACAACCACAATTATCTCTCTACGTTTGTCTCTCTTGTTGTTCATTTGTGTTCTCTCCTTCTCCTCTCTCTATTATTGTTATTTACGTTCCTATGTATTTCCACAGTCACAAACCAAAGAGCTGGATTAAATAGGTCTTTACAATATATATATATATATATATATATATATATATATATATATATATATATATATATATTTATAATGTTATGTGCTAGTTATGCTCATCACGAGTACTTTAATATCCGATTTTTCACTGCAGATTGATTGCCTTTTCCGAGAAATGATGAGGATGCCATTTATACTAGGAGTGATTTCATCACTATGTCTGAGCACAACATTGGTGGTAGCAGTAGATTGGTCCAAGCCTGGTTGTCCATCAAAGTGTGGAAATATCACAATTCCATATCCTTTTGGCATTGGTTCTCATTGCAGGTTCAATTCTTCCTTCGAAATCACCTGCACCAAAGACTCCACCACCGGAGTGGAAGTACCATTCTTGAACATCATAAGTATGGAAGTACACAATTGTTCTGTTCACGGTACCGTCATAGTAAAGAACCCTGTTACACCAATGATATGCTCTGATATGCAAGACACACAATCTATGGTAAGGTCGCTCGATAAAACTCCATTTTCCATCTCCAGCCGACATAATTTGTTGGTTGTTTTGGGCTGTCGGAATTCGGTCCGCCTGTATCCTAACACGACAACTCCAGGTGGCGGATGCATGGCAATTTGTGACCATAGTTCTATAGACAACAGCTGCAATGGTGTCAACTGCTGTCGAATAACAATCCCACCTCAACTTAAGGGGCTTAATTATACTTACCAAGGTACTAATCAAGTTGCTACTAATGAGAGTTCATGTGGTTATGCTTTCCCTGTCGAAAAAGTATGGTTCCAAGATGAATACAAAAGGTACAAGGGCCTTCAGAATAATCTATTAAATCCTTTTGATAAAGAATTCGAATCCGCACCACTGGTACTTGAGTGGGAACTCGACATATCGAAATTTTCAGATCCTAATATATGTGCGAATTACTTCAAAACAACCTCACCAAATACATCATCATTTCCTAGTCAAATTGAGTATGCATCTTCCATCCAAGAGTATGCATCTTCCATTCAATATTGCTATTGCAGGGGGGGCCATGAAGGGAACCCATATATACCTGGAGGATGCATTGATATTGATGAATGTAGCGATCCAAAATTGAATTTATGCAGAAGTATAAATGCAACTTGCAAAAACAACAAAGGAGGTTACTGGTGTGAATATACAAATTATAAGGTTAAAAAATCACAAGTGGCCAAAATAACAGTCATCAGCGGTGGTACTGTCCTTGGTGCACTAATTTTGTTCTTCGCGGCATGGAAGTCTATCACGAAAAAAATCAAGGCTAAGCGCAAACTCAAGTTCTTCAAACAAAATGGAGGCTTGTTATTGCAACAAAAGTTATCTTCAAACGACAACAGCCTAGAAAAGACCAACCTATTCGGTTCCAAAGAGTTGGCACAAGCTACCGATCGTTACAATGAAAATCGTGTATTGGGTCGTGGTGGCCAAGGTACCGTCTACAAAGGAATGTTGACAGATGGAAGAATCGTGGCAGTCAAAAAGTCGATCAAGGTAGAAGAAGGCGATGTCGAACTGTTCATCAACGAGGTCCTTATTCTGTCACAGATAAACCACAGAAATGTGGTCAAACTTTTAGGGTGCTGTTTGGAGACCGAAGCTCCTCTTTTAGTCTACGAGTTCATACCGAACGGCACACTCTTCCAACACGTGCACAATTCAAACGAGGAGTTTCCTTTAACTTGGGAAATGCGAGTCAGTATTGCAAGAGAAGTAGCGGGGGCACTCTCTTACTTGCACTCTTCTGCATCTGCACCTATTTATCACAGGGATATAAAGTCCACGAATATACTATTGGATGATAAATATAGGGCCAAAGTTGCTGATTTCGGGACATCAAGATCGATTGGTATAGATCAGACGCACTTGACCACACGAGTACTAGGAACGTTCGGTTATTTGGATCCGGAATACTTCCAATCGAGCCAGTTTACGGATAAGAGCGATGTCTATAGCTTCGGTGTTGTTGTGGTGGAGCTTTTGACGGGGGAGAAAGGCTATATCGTCAATTAGAGCCGACGGGGAAGGAGTTTGGCAACACA